GTTAAGCGTTAAGAAAGAATGAAGTTTTGTTGATCTTATACGTTGGTTGTTTCGTAAAGGTAGTTTATTATGAAGATTTAAATTGTTGGCAATTCATCTTATAAATAACTGTACCCACATTGATATATTTTTGTATTAATCGAAAATTGTATTTTAAATTGGAAAATTGTAGTTAATCAAAAAAATTATAAAAATAAATGTTTATGTACAATGTAGGTACTTCATAAATGATTACAAGCCAAGTGACCAGTAATTTTGTTTGGAAAATTTTGGTAATATTAAGAATTACTAAAATTAAGAAGAATGCTCTATCAAGCCATGAAAAAAAAAACCTATATCGCTGCATTTAATTTTTTTAGTTAACGGAGACAATTACAAAACTTTTCTAACTTTCAAAACTTTCAAAACTAAAATATTTTTATCCCCATATCATAGAAATAAATTTTATTAATAGTTCTTTAAAATGAACCGTCCTTTCTTGAAATCGATTAAGGCATTTAGAGGTTATGACAATTTAAAAATTTCAAGACGGCGTCCTTTATACTGACGTTGCTATGGTAATAACAAGAAAAAATTCAAACAAAACTTATGAAGGATTTAACAGTGTATCTAAAAAGTGTATTTTCAACTTAGGCTATATAGCAAAATTTCGAAAAAACGACAATTTTCTGTAACACTATAGCAGTTGCGTCCTCTAGCGGTGAAGTTACAAACTTGAAAGTATTTTAAATTCATTTCATTTGGCCTATTATACAGGCTGTTACAAATTCGCTTCTCACTACAGGGATCTCGGAAACGGTAAGAGATACGAAGTAGCTTAAATGGGGGCAAAGTTGCGTAATCAGCGGACCAACATTAAGCCCCCAAAAAATCAAGGCTAACATGATTAGTTCTTGAAATATTTGGAAAAATATGTTGGAAATCCGTTTTTGTTTCATTTCAGCCTTGTTTGAGGTGATATTGAAAAAAAAGGACACTTTCTCAAGCCCACTTTTTGCCCTCTATCGAATGGCAGAATCAATTTTTATATGTAACGTTTCGTCTTTTCAGGACCATCAAATTTTATTACATTTTTGCAAGCCTTCCAGACCCCCAATACTGTACTGCCTCAGCCCGAACCAGATTCAGACGTTTTGTCTCGAAATTAATCTTCAGTGTATTTGTTTCAAATTTATCTAAATTTTTTATTTAGATTTCTTTGTTTATTGAATTATGGTACACTGTAAGTGTCGTTACAATAAAATACACCACGCGTTACAATATTACGTAATAAGTGTTGTAAAAAGCATTTTACGCACGAATGGAAAAGTTACGCACGACGCCGCGTAGCGGCGAGTGCGTAATTCTATGAGTGCGTAATTGCATTACACCACGTATTACGTACTATACTTTACCTACGACCACTACTTTAAATACTTAAAAACACACCGTCTGCGATCAATGCAAGATTCCTATTACGTCGTACGGTAAAAAAATCGCACAGCTTGGTAAAAAAATCGTACAGTTTTCCTAGCAACCGCCTAGCAACGGTCAATACAAACAGTATTGTATTGACCGTTGCTAGGCGGTTGCTAGGAAAACTGTGCGATTTTTTTACCGTACGTAATAGGAATCTTACATTGATCGCAGACGGTGTGTTTTTAAGTATTTACACTAGTGGTCGTAGGTAAAAATATTTATTATTATTATTAACTATTACCATCACTTGGTCATACATAACTCAATAAGTTGTTGTGTCAAAATTAAAACATTATTACAATTTTAATTTTATTATGACAAATTAATTCTTAAAAATGCATATAAACAACTGAATATTCTTTAAAACATTTCAGTAAATGTTCAAAAACATTTTCGTTTTGGCAAAGGTTAAAAATGAAGATCAGTGTAATATTATCGGAATTTATTATATCTGTAACTGCAACTGTGAAAGAGCATGTCAGATGTATTTGTATGAATATTCTGAAAAAAATAGATCGAAATTTATTTGTATTTTGAGCACTCGAGAAGCCTAGAAACAACTATGGACACGGGAATAAAACTGTAATGATATTATTTTAATGCATGATAACTAGATGGATTTCACAGGGTCTAACGACAGTGTACGATAATTCAATAAACAAAGAAATCTAAATAAAAAATTTATATAAATTTGGAACGAATACGCTGAAGATGAATTTTTCGAGACAAAACGTCTGAATCTGATTCGGGCTGAGGCAGTACAGTATTGGGATCATGAAGGTTTGCAAAAAATGTAATAAAATTTCCAGGGTCGTATTTAAAAAAAGTGAAGTTGACGATGGTCCTGGAGAGACGAAACGTTATATATAAAAATTGATTATGCCAAAACGTGACTATGGGAAAGTGTTCTTCTTTTTTCAATATCACCTCAAATAAAGCTGAAATTAAACAAAAACGGATTTCCAAAATTTCGTTTTTTTTTTAATATTTCGAAAACTAATCATGTTAGCCTTGATTTTTTAGTGGCATAATGTTGGTCCCCTGATTACCGTTTCCGAGACCCCTGTAGTGAGAAGCGAATTTGTAGCAGCCTGTATTCATTTGTTACAGAGCAAACTTTCAGTGAACATTTTGGTGTGTCTAAGTGACTCGAAATTTGAAAAACGCTTTGGAGGGATGAATGTGCATTTTTTGGGGTGATCCGAATATTTTAACTTGCACCTTTAAATAAAGGATTAACGAAACCTACAATAAAATATGTTTTATTTTTTTTTCTCAAAAACGGTGCATCCTACGAAAAAAGTTGAAGAGACCAATTTCATTCAGAATTGATCAAAAAAATATCAAAACGGGGAAAAGTCAGTGGCGTATCATTTTTTTTTTTTATTAAAAAAAGGTTTGTGGCATTCTCACACGAACGCCGTTCTTACCACCCACTAAAATATTTCACACTTATTTACAAACACCTTGTATAATCTTCCTTTGCTACATATCTTATACCTTATCTTTAGGCTGTCTCTGGCTCTCTGGCTGTCGTTCGTCATGCCTAAGGACTGTGGAACACCGATTCTGTACCTTATTGAAAATTCAAAAGCATGGCGATTTTTTGTTGCAGTTTCAATCATACCATTTGATTATTGCCTCTTTAATGATTGTTTATTCTAGTCTTCATTTTATTTTTTACTCATGTGAAATTTAATTTATATAGACGTTTAGAATCAATTTAAATGGTGCCTTTTGATTTTAATTTTCCATTACTGTACGATATTCAACTTTCTAATGTGCCTACACGCTTTAAAAAACAAAAGACGTTCATAAACCCAGAAATTTGGATTTATGTTAGCGTTTTAGTTCGAGTTACGGGGGAATTATCTAGTCCAGTTTATTAAAAAAGTTCCGCTGCAGTTGCGTCTATATTTTCATTAAATAAGTTTGTAAGTAATGATTCTAGGAAGGGTGTTATTATTTATAAATTGAAATAGCTGTCTGTGTTTTCCTTCACTTAATGAAAATACTGCGCCGTGCTGAGAAATCTTTATTATAATAACTTTTGTGGAGAAACGAAATTAAAAATCCCTGCCTCCGTAGTTTCGCTGTTACAACTTTGTAATGTTGCTAAAATACAAAGTTATAATGGTTGCAAGTCAATTACTATAATATTATGTAGTTCAAAATGAAGATTAAGGACAAATGATCTTACGTGTAAATATTACAGTAAACCAGGGATTTTAAACAAATCGTGCAATTATTTTTCTTGTACTTTCAGTTTTTTTCAAAGAAAAAGAACTAGGAATTATGTGTTCTACACAGTAAACTGTAACACTGTTTCAAATATGCGGGTGTAACTTTAAAAGTTGGTGAGTTGTTTAAGGATAATAGTGCCTATATGTTCCCCAGAATTAATAGTTTTTTAAACTGCGCTTTTTCTCTTTCTTTTTACTTAGCCACTTTATCCGACAAAACGGTGTTAAATGTCTTAAATTAATCCGAATCAAGATAAAACAGTAACAAAATTAAACCGCTAATGATACGCATGAATTAAAAACTATTACTTACAAGATATACAGGGTGTTCGACAAGCTGTATGACAAACTTTGATAGATGATAGCTAGGTTAATTTCAAGAATTTTAAACAATATAATTTCATATTTCAATCAAAGTAGTTTGATAAATAAAAATGATGGTTGCACTTTCTGGGTGTAGTATTTTTGTTACAGGAACTGAAATATAATTTATTTTTGTAGGGTGATAGTGTAAGAGTACAACTTTATAAAGTTATTTATTTCAGTATTTAGTGACAGTTACGAAATAATATTTGTTTTTTCAGTTATGAACACTTCTTCACCCAGAAAGGTACTGCTTATCGTTAGCGATTTATACATAAATAGCACATTGCACGAGTAAAAGTATGCATAGTTTGTTTCACAAAATGTAGAACTTGTAATGAACAACATTCTTCTCAAATTTTACGAAGTTTAGAGATTCCGCTAACTTACGGAACATATAGTTGTTCCAGGAATGCATAAATTTCTCTTTAAACTTCCAGGATAAGTAATTTGAGTGAAGCTTTAAAAGTTAAATAATTTATCAAAGCATTACAGCGTTATGAAGGTTTTAATTTTGTTGTAAATCGAAAGAGGAGATAAAAGATAATTGTTATTTGTATCTCGTCTGTTTATCTCTAGTATTATATGACAAATGCTGGAGATATGTAGACGTTTTTTCAATTTGCTCTTGATGAAATAAAAGTTTTTCTAGACAATATTGATAATAGAAAAACCAACAATTAAATTCATTTTAGAAGCAGAAAAGAATGATAGCTTCGTCTGCATTGACATAAAAAATATGGCGATTTTAAAGCAACTCATGTCGTAAAGTCATACAAATGCAATCTGTTTTTACAAAATTATTTCCTATTACAGCTTGGCTTTCTGTTAGTTTCATGCAGTTGGTTTCAAGGAGATGCCTAGTGACGGCGTAGACAAGGGACAAACTGGACCACAGTTAAAGTTGTATCTTGTGTAATATAACTATGTTTTCAGGCTAATGTGGTCAATTTGCGTAGTCGTTGGAACCGTAGCTGCAATCGTAGTGATTCTCAGCCTATGGGAGAAGTTCCAAACTAATCCCACGATCACAGGCTTGGACACCGACTTTCACAACTGGGAAGTACCTTTCCCGGCTATAACTGTGTGCCTACAAGTCCCCACAACCACGGAAAAAATCGAGAATTACATTTCCCAAATCTTGGGCAGGTAAACAGTAAAATCACAGACAATATAGCTTATCGCCCCAGACCGAGCTTTAAATGCTGGAAATTGTCAACCTAAAATGGATGCAGGGTCTTGTTAGCCATCATCCAGCAATAAAATTTAGCATGGTAACTCTTCTACTCGATAATAGGGGGCATTTCTAGCGGTGGTTTTGTTGCCAAATAAATGTAATGCATTTGATTATGTAATTGGAGAGTTATAAGGAACTTATCTTTTGTTTGGAAATGACATTTGTGTTAAATGCTAATAAAATAAACCATGGTAGAATTAAAACTATGAATTTACCTAATTAATTATTTACTTCCAAAAAAAAATTTAAAATGTATAATTTCCTTAAGAATAGTACCTTAATTTTTTATTTAATAAAATAGTTGGAAGCTCAAGGGGTGGTTGATACCAAATTTATTTTAAAAAAATCAACAAATCATCAATCAATGAGAGATAAGATAATGCGTTCGCTACTGCTGTTGCAATTGTTGACTAACTTTTTTGTTTTTCGACAGATGGACTTCGGACCTTTTCCGTTCAACACAAAACGGATAATTACAACCTGGAGAAGCCCCAGAGACTCCTGAAGACAGCAGAGAGAGAGAGAGAGAAAACCCCTCTATGAGGACAGAGTCACTCTATCTCTATCGCACACTATATCTCTATCTCTCTCGCACACAATCAGACAAAAATGACAGAAATGAACCTTCTTTTAAAAATACATGGGATTTATCATTATCAGAATAACCCATTTTAATTAAAAAAAATTAAAATGGGTTATTCTGATGAAAAATAAAACATAATTAAAATATATTATTCAAATAACAATAATGTGCAAAAGTTTTTCAGGAATATTGTCAAATTTACTTTGGAGGAAGAATCCCGTCAACGAACACTAAAAAATATTATTAGATAGGTACCGTAGGTGCCAGAAAACAGCCCCGATCTCAGTCCTTTAGACATATTTTTGTGGGCGTATTTCAACAAAATATATTATAAGGACCTCAAAGTTTACAAGTGTTGAAAGAAAAAATACAGGTCGAAATGTTCGATATTTCCGAGTTTGTTTTTAAAGCAATAAATAGTAAATTAAAACATATTTTCAACTCTATCATCACAATTACATGCATGTTGAAAATTTGTAAAAATTGTAGGCATTTTAATGTCCTTTTGTTTTTAATTTTTTTAATGATTTTTTTTACTTTAAACATATACATATTTTATGCCAGCAAATTTTGACGTCAAATGAAATAAAGGAAAAGTCGTACATTTGTATTTCAAATTTTTTCCTATATTTAATTATTAAACCTACAAGTAGATGTCAAAATACAAAAAAAAATCTATAACTACATTCCGTGAAGTACTAATAACCCACCTTGTACATTAAATAAATTTAGCATCATCAAATATTAAAAAAATTATATTACAAGCTGTTTAAAATATCATTACGAATTTTGTTTACTTGGAAATATATTTTCAGTATATCAATACCAAAAAATGAAAATAGTAGCTAATTAACGAAATTATGATTAAATAACCTAACTGTGACACCACTGCAGAATATCTTATGAATCTACATAGATAGATATTCGTTGATTCTTTAACACATTTTTATCAATACCTACATCATACATTTAAGTAAATACAGTAACGCGAAAAATAGATATTGATAAAAAAAAGTGTACAAAATAAATCCGTAAGTACGCCTGGCAACATTGCCAAAGTGTTGTTTATATGTTGCTAGGATAGGCGTAGGAATGCGGGCCGCTGCATTTGATTCTTCCTAAAATTCTGCTGGTGGTGTACTCTACCGACAATTCGCAAATTTAAAACTGTTGTCCTATTCCAGTAGCGGTCTGGGGCGAAGCTATATTGTCGGTGGTAAAATACAAAAACAATATTTGCTAACCAATACTTCCAAAGTAAATGAGCTTGAAATACATGCATATATTGAATATTCCGACTGAAAATAAATCTTAATTTATACCAGCTGTTTAAAGACGTCTAGTGTAGGTAAAATAGTAATAATATACAACACCCTGTATAGCTGCATTTTGAATTAAAAGTTGAATTTATAATATTTGTTGATTCCTCGGTCAAATAAACATTTGCAGTAATGTAGCGAATTCTGCAAATTTCAAAAATACGTGCTGTAAACAGAATATTATTTGCTCTTCCCCTTTAACATAACTGCAAATGTAAAAAGCAAAGGTACGCAAAATCAAAGCGAATTAAAATATGTATTTATTTGTCCGCGTATGAACTCAGCAAAACCATGGACCTTACATAGTTTTAAATGTGATAGACTTTTCATATTTTATCATAGATGCCTTTATTTTCAGCTCATTACCTGCGCTTCATTTTCCTGTCGAATGTAACTGAAACTACTTTAAATTTCAGGAATGCATCCGGCCAAAAGGAAGTAGACTTCTTTATGTATTTATCTCAGATGTCATACGAAAATTGGAGATCTTTCTCTGCCAACTACTCTGAACTTTTGAACTCCACCGATTTCAAGCGCATATCTAAAATTTCGATGAAAGATTTAATCTTTAATGTGAGTATTCGTTTGGTTTGAAATGAAATGCAATTTTGTTACCGATAAATAAATGCACAAAAGTTGTAAAGTTAAATACAGGAACGTCGAGAAATCTCTTGGGACTTATCCACTTATCAAAATAGAATCCTATGGGTATATGCTCTAAAAGCTTTTGTTTTCGAGATGCAAGATAAACAAAGAAACGATTTTTTATGCAAAGGGGTGGTTAAGTCTTCTAAAGGGTTTCTCCATAAGAACGATATGATTTTAAAATGAAATAAAATTAAAATTATTTCAAATACAACAAAACTTTTTATATTCTCTTAAAGTACAGTCAATAACGTTTATGTTATGAAAACCACATCGTTTGAATGTCCACCTCGACTTCGTCTACACGAGCAATCGTCTTCGACGAACACAAGTTTCGATGACTGTGCAATAAATCGAGCGTAATCTGACGAATACAGTGTTCATTACACATAGTCCAGATGGTATCTGTTTCAAAAAGTCCATATTTGGGTAAATCGTATATCCACGGAGATTTTTGGCTCATTGGCTTTCAAATATCACTAGAAATGAAAATTTTTCTATGCGAATAAAAAAACGTAGTCTTACCTTTTGGCGGCATAATATGTTTAAAAAAATTAAAAAATGTCATATTTTTCTTCCTATTTAATTATGTATCTTTTCAAGAGTTGATTTTAGGCGAAAATGAAAGAGGAAAGAAATGTTTGTAATTTAAGTTTTTATAAAATATGACTAGATACGAATCGATTGAATCATGATTATTATTGTAAAAATCGAAAAAATCGCCAAAAGTGGGGTTAAAAACCATTACTTCACACCAAATTTCATTAAAATCGGTTCTACAGATTTTTAATAATAATTTTGTAATCCAGATTTAGAAAAAAAAATTCAAATTTTAAAAATTTTGCACAGCAAAAACCAAGGCCCTTAGATACTTGAAAGTTTAAATACATATAGAAGGGCTCTCAAGCTTTCAAACGGTTTTTGAAAAATTCGAATCCGTCAATTAGGAGAGCTCTGGCGCTTGTTTAAACATTGGTCGAATTTTTATAGTTATAAACAACTAGAATAACTTTGTGAATATTCAATCAAATCAAATTTTTTAAAGCAAGTTTTAAAAGTTATTGGACGGACGACTTTTTAAAAAAAAACAGATCGATTAGTCAATTAGTTACGTAGTTATAGCCGATCAAAGTTTACCGTCATTCACACTAAATGTACTGGGACATCCGGGCTAATTTTTCGAAAAATACCTTTGGTATTCCGAGTACTTACCAGGTCTAAGNATAAATACATTAAAAATTTTAGGTTCCGATGATACATTTTAATTTCACTAACTTTTTTGCAAAACTTGCATAAAACGTATTTCTCAAACCGCTCCATTTTTCAATTGTACAACACAACGATTTTAAAGAAAATGGTCAAATAACGTCAAAAGTCACGATTACCTTGTTTGACATGGATTCCATGGCCTTCTTAATAATATATACATATGAATTTTATTGATATTACATAGTGCTTAAGGTTCTTTGTAAGAAAATATATTTCTACCAACTTTAGTAAAATGAGTATGTGGAAAACTGAGGGATTGATCTACTATCGACTTATTTTTTATTATTTTGCTTAACTAAAGTCGGTTAGTTGTATTTTATTTAACCTAATGTTATATGTATGTAAGTTACTTTGATTATATATACTGCTTCAAGTTTTTTTGCAATAAAATATATTTTTACCAACTTTAGTACACTAAATTTTTAGAAAACTGAAAGATTGAACTACTATCAACTTATTTTTTATTATTTTGTGTAACTAAAGTTCACCACTTATACTTTATTTAACTTAATAAAATATGCATGTGAGTTTCATTGATACAACATAGTGCTTCAATTTCTTTGTAAGAAAATATTATTTCAACCTACTTTAGTAAAATGAATTTTTAGAAAACTGAGAATCTGAACTACTATCGATTTGTCTTTTATTATTCTGTGTAACTAAAGTTCGTTACTTACATATATTTAATTTAACTTAATAATATAAGCATATGAATTGTATTATCATTACATAGTACTTGAGGTTCTTTGTAAGAAAATATATTTTTACCAACTGTAGTACACTAAATTTGTAGAAAACTGAAAGATTAAACTACGATCAACTTGTCTTTTATTATTTTGTATAACTAAAGTTCGCTACTTATATTTTATTAAATTTAACCTAATAATATATGCATGTGAATTTCATTGATACTACATACTGCTTAAGGTTTTTTGTAAGAAAATATTTTTCTACCAACTTTAGTAAAATGAGTTTCTAGGAAACTGAGAGGCAAAGCTGCCTTCGACTTATATTTTATTATTTTGTTTAATTAAAGTCGTGTAATTGCTTTTTATTAAACCTAATATAATGTATGTGAATTTCATCGATACTAGGTTCGAGTTTCTTGTAAGAAAGTATGTTTCTACCAACTTTAGTAAAATAATTTGTAGAAAACAGAAAGATTGAGCTATTATTGACTTATTGTTTGTGATTTTGTGTAACTAAAGTCGTTTAATTGTATTTTGTTTCGAGTTCCTTGTAAGAAATTATATTTCCACCAACGTTAGTGGAATGAAGTTGATCAAGAATAATTGATCATATATCATAATAAGATTTGAACTACCACCAACTGCCTTATACTTATTTTGCACAACGAAATTTGGTAGTTTGTGTATTATTTAACATAATTTTAATTTGATGTTAGAATAGAAATTTAGAACAAATTTAGAAATATGACCGTCGAGATTGATATCTAAATACCTTATTTTCATAAATGTAAAGAAAATAATTGTATCACCTGTTTAAAATAGGTATATTACGCACTAAAGAACAATATTAATTATTATTACTGTTATTTTGATAAGTACTACTATAATTATTATTTGTAACATTAAATGTACAGTTATTATAAGTTATAACTGATGATTGATTTGCATCTGATTGCATCATTTTTGATACTGAAACATTGGTACAGCTGCCCTTTGAATTACACCGCATAGCTTCAACAATTTCTTTATGATGTCCTTCATCAATCTGTAAATAAGGTTTTATCGATTGACTGCTACTGTGGCGTGTAATTTTGATCAACTGCTGTTCCCCAATTCCTTTTTTCGCCAAATTGGATACTGCAGTTGCTCTCGCTGAATGATTCGTAATTTTCACTTTTTTTTTGTGTCAACACCAATTTTCTGTGCAGCCGATTTAAACCATGTGAAAATCGTGTTCTTCCCCACTGGACAATTCTTGTACCATCCCTTTGAATTCCTTTGATCCCAAAACGGATTAGGAGTTAAAAACAAACGATTGGTCTCTATAGAGTTACCTCGTTTTTCCATCATCTTCCTAAAAAGACGAACAGGACATATGGTTGGATTATTTATGTTTGTGATTAGCCACTTGCTATCAGCTAACTTTCTTGAACCGCCTTGTGTTGTCTTCGAAAAAATGGGATTATACTCTATGCGACCAGTAAATTTGCCGAAATTATCAGTTTCTTCAACAAAGTATTCAATATTTGCTACTGCACCTTCTCCGCCCCTCCAGGCTAACTCATGGGAAGCAATATGAAAAAACTTTCGCTGAAGACCTTCTGGACAATCTTCATCCCAGAGTTCTACAATCTTCATATATTCAGCATCACTTAAGGCCAAGGCACTAAGCTTTCGTTTTGTTGGATCTTTTTGTAGTTTTCTACGTTTAGCATCACGTGCTGCTCTTGCATTTTTAAAGGTTATGTCAGAAAATGGATCAAATTTAACTTTAAATTCTTCGTAATACATCTCCTGTAGTTGTTTGGCAGTTGAATTCCACATTACTTTTACAACACTTTCTTTGTACTCCTCTGAATTTTTTTTTCTCATATTAAATGAATAATCTTCTAGAATACTTGC